GTGACCAGTCTGCCGTTGCTGTTTTTGCTTTTCTTGATTCCTGACTCCGAACATTAGGTATACGTACAGGACCGTTCGAGTAAGGGAAACGCGTTTTGTTCTTTTTCGGGTGAATTGCAAATGTCATCCCTAACCTTTTACCAAAGTTGCTATATGTCCCTAAATATTTTTCATCTAGTTTTTGTCCTCGATCATTTATAAATTAATAAAATTGGTCCCTTTTGACAGTTTTCATCTAAAAATCTGTTAAATTTGTGCAAAATAACAATCTCGCCCTCTAACTTATATAAACCAAAGTAAAATACAACAACAAAGAGCAAAAACTAAATAAATAAGCAAAAGAGTGAAAACAAAAGAAAAGACGGATAAAAAATCACCCCGCACCCCCACTTCTCTATCTCCGCATCTGGTAGGAATACCAAGGGGGTTTCCATACATGTTTGACTTTTTGCCGAATGAAAAAAGGGAAAAAAAAATTGAGTGAAATGCATAACGGTGAAAAGAGGAATAAATAAGGGAACTTTCCCATGAACTTCGTGTCAATGGAAAGAAAACCCCCTACCCCGTATGTGGAAAGGGGGAGAACCAGAAAGTTTTACCCTAAGGTGGCGACAAAATCTAAAGGGGAAACCATGATTTTTATCAGCTACTACATGTATATCACGACTTACAAATTTTTATACCAATAAATGATGTGACGAGATTTGATTGAATCAAAATCTCACAAACCAAATAAAAAATTAAAATTTCCTTCACTTCCTTTTCGCGACCTTATCAGTTTATAAAAAGAACTTCTAAATAGTGATGTACAACAAGTATTTTCGTGTGAGGAAATGTTTTTTTTTTCTATATGTTGCTTATATTTATATTTTCTTTTTGTTTTGTCTTTTTATTGTTTTATGCCTTTTTTGTTATTTTATTTATTCTGATTTATTTAGGTTAGAGGGCACTATCATCATTTCTCACAAATTCAACATATTTTTGGTGGAAACTATCAAAATGGACCAAATATTGCTAATACATCAAAGGGTATGGACCAAAAATAGGTGAAAGAAAAAGATTTGGAACAGTATTACAACTTCGGGTAAATGTTAGAAACTAAGCCCTCTATTTAATTTAGATTTAAAAAAAAACAATTTTTTAGTAAATTTTAATAAAAATTGTTAAGATATGTGATTGAAAAGGGATTGTACAAAATCTATAATTAAAATTAATTATTGACTTTTATTTAAATTTTAGTCCAATTTTAAATTGAACCTAAGAGAGATTAAATACATAATTTATTCTAAAACTATTTATTTTGGTGGTGTATTTATTCGGTGCCTGTTGATGTTGGGAGGTGTCTTGGGCCGGTTCTGATGCCTATGGTTTGCAGGCTGGCTTGGGCGGTGTGGTGGTTTGGACTGGTGGCCTGGGTGGTTGTTCTCGTGGTGCTTTGGATTGTGAGAGGGGCGTGCGTTTACTTGGTTTGCGGTCTCAAGCGGTCGGAGCTGGCGAAGGATTTCTACTGGGTTTCGCTGGTGGGCCTTTTTGGCTGGGTTCCAGCGTTGGCCGTGGGGTGGCAATCGGGGGTGTGCTGTGTGCGTGTTGTTTTGGTGGTGTAGGTTTGTTGGTTGTTTTGAGGTTGTCTTTGTTGTTGTGTTGTGATGTTTGTTCTGTTTGTGTTGTTATGGTTCGCTGGTGTGAAGTCTAGACAATGCCCGTTCATTGTGCGCGGGGGTGCTTAAGTGCAGATTGCGTAATTAGCTTTCGGTCGGGTTTCTCTTGTACTGTAAAGTCACAGATGTTTTTAGACTTTTATTGTCTGTGTATGTTGTCGGGTCGTGTTTGTTTTCGTGGTCTGTTCTATTTGTGGTTGTGTCTTGTATAGTTGTTGTTGTTTTGTTGCACTTGGATTGCACTTAATCTCTCTTAGGAGGGCGATGTGTTGAAGGTTCTCCTCCTTGTATCCGCTTTGTGCGTTTTTAATGGATTGCTCTTTGCATTCAAAAAATAAATAAATAAATAAATAAATAAAAAATATATATATATATACACACTAATTTTCTACTAACATAACGTCACTCTCATTATTCACGATTCTCATTTGTTGACTTGCTTTGAATTGAGCTACTTTTGATAGAATTAAAAGTGCACAATTTCAGCTAACAAACAATACGATGTATGTATGGTACCCAAGCTCTAATCTAATGCTATTAATAAAATATTACGACATTTTCTATTTATTTTAGATTTTACATGCAGATAAACATCTAAGGGTGCGTTTGATTGTAATTGTGGAAAATGGGTGAAAAAAAATGAATTCCAGGGAAAATATTTGCCAATAAAAAATTTTACTGGGAATTGTCAATTAGTTGCGTTTGATTGGTATAATTTTCCATCTAGAAAATGTTGAGATTTCCAACTTTTGGTGTTTGATCGACTTTGTTTTTTATGGAAAATTATGATTATTTGTGCAAAACTATCCAACTTAACAAAAATTTTCCGACAACATCCGTTCATCCTCCAGCATCAACTCCGCCTGCGCCTCACAGCCTCCTCCTACTCCAACAACTTCTCCACCACCTGCAAGCCCAACTCCCCAAGCCAACTCTCCTCCACCAGCTTCATACCCACCACCGCCGCCCAGCCTCCTTCACGGATCTTCAATCCGTGATTTGAGTTTACAATAAACAAGAAAAGGGGCTTGAAACAAATCAATTCACAATATAATTAAACTCAATTCAAGTTAAACAGACAATTGATATCCCAAATCACTTCAATTGAATACAAGCAAAAGAATAGACCTTCAGCTCCAGTTTCTCCACCAATTCCTCCCGCATCAACCCCACCTCCGACTAACTCCTCCACCGTCCCAACAGGTGGGAATTCGTGAACTAGAAATGGCTCCGAAATTCGGCACTGAAGAAGACGTCGCTTCATTTGAAGAATCGATTCCCAGCTAAGAAACGAGATTCCGGAAATTCTGGGTTTCACCGAAAATTCCCAGCTAAGAAGACGCTGAAAATTCCCAGCTAAGAAGAAGCTGAAGACGTAGATCCCCAGCTAAGAAGACGCTGAAAATTCTGGGTTTCACCCTCCCCCCTTCTTGACCCATAGGAGGGTATTCTCCTCCGTCGCCGTCGTCTGGCGGTGGTGGAAGACCCAAACGCCCCCCAAGAAATGGGCGTCGCTTGCGGGAGAGAAAATCCACAGGTGGATTTCCTTCTTCCAGGGAAAATCGATTCCCAGCTGAAACGAGAGAAAATGTTTTGCTCAATTTGGTGGAAAATAGGTCACGTGAGGGTTAAATGAGAAAATGTTTTGATTGGAAAATTTAACCTATCAAACATGTCAAAAGTGGGAAATTGAACTTATTTTCTATCTTTCAACGAAAAAACTGCCTATCATACAGGGCCTAAGTTTCTTTACACTTCGACTTGCTTCACGTCTCTGACAAAAAGTTATATTTTTCTTGCGCTTAACCCCTATAATTGGGTCATTAGCCCACAAGTCCGTTGAGCCCATCTTATGATGCTCTATCCCATTAGTCTAACACAGCTCACTCAAAATCTGAAAGGAGGCCGAAACTAACCCCATGCCCCGTCCATTCCACAACAGCCCATGGATCCAGTTGTGGACCTTTGAACTGTAAATAGGCATGGCAATGTGGTGGACCTCCCCCGCCCCGCCAGGCATTTCCCCGCTCTGTTTTCCGTTTAATTTTTTTTTTTTTTAATTTGTGATAATACATTTTATTGCACTCATTCATTAGATTGAAACAATAATATATTTTTAAATCTTTACTTATTTTTAAAGTTAAATTATTTAAATATATTTAGTAAACTAAGGCTTTTATTATTTGTCATATTTTTTAGATAATTTTAGTTGTTATTTTCTATTAGAACTAATGAAATTTCGTAAAATTTTTCATTTAAAGTATTGAATTCTAAAAAAAATAAAAATAAAAATAAACAGGGCTAAGCACCCGTTACCCGTCCACGCTCCAAACCCACTCAGTTCCCGACCTGAATACCCGATTAAACAGGTAATCCCCACCACATTCGGACGGGATCCCGCGATTATCGAGTTTGTCGAATTTTTTTGTCATCTCTAACTATAACCTGTATGGAACTATAACTACTATCTGCTACACATTCGGGGACGAGACAAATACGAGCTACAAATCTGAATTAGCGCTTACAAAAGATCCTTATATAAAGGACAAATGAAAACATGCCCTTCACATGACTCCATTTTTCCAAAACACATTACCACATTATCCTGTAAAATAATATTACGTGTAATTCTAAATTTTTTCTTATTTTTTAACCACATTCTCCAAAAAAATCACATTTTCTCCAAAAATCTCGTTATATCGAGTATCATGCACCACCATAAACAGTCCCACTTTCTATCTTTATTATGTCCAGCATAGGTTATGACAATGTGGTGCATAGAACATGAGTTGAATTTGCTGCTAAGCATATAATCTTTTATTTTATTATTATTGAACTGCATTCTTTCGTAGAATCAGAAGAGCATTGATATAAGATGTAGCAAGAAATTTTCACGAAAACCAAACATACGCAGTCCCTCATCCCTTCCGACACTTGAAAGTTCTCATTAAACGTCCTGAGGGTGACAAAGGGAATAAATTTGATAAAAGTTGTACAACATAAGTTCTGGACATGGCAAAACACTTCATAATCTCTCTTTAAGAGGAATACAACATATTGCTTTGATCGGAAATTAGGATCATCTGCAAAGAACAGTTTCCATGCCCTAAAACATAAGAGTCCACGTTCTTATGTACTTTTACATTGTTAATATCTATTCCGTTCATCTCAAAATGAGAAGCACTCACATAATGAGAAATACCCGTGGTGTAATTACAAGATCCAAACAGATTCAGCCAATCATCGGTACCAAACAATGGGAGTTGCCTTGTTCTGGGGACTGGGGAGGCTGTGGAATCATGCAGGGCTGCTGTTGCCAGTGATGCAAACCTTCACTTAAACTCATTCCACCAGACTCATGTTCAAAGCCAGTCTATTGTCAGCTTCAATATCCATTGTTGACTCCCCTACTTCTTCAGGGTCCATCATATCTGTCTGAGGAACCTCAAAACCCGGCTCAGAATAATTATGTGATGGCAACCACGGAACAACAGCCAGACACTTGTTACTTGCACCAGAATTCTCACTCTCTGTCACAATCTCATTGCTCTCTAATCTCCAGTTGTTTAATTGGCTAGACCACAAAACCTTATCTACACAATATACACAAACTAGTTATTTGTTTTCGAAGCTTCTACTCAGAAATCAAACCATACAATGCCAAAAATATCATTTCCATTGGAAACATCAATGATTTAACCGCACATTTACACAATAAAATATTTTGCACGTAAATCCAAAACTTTTCCCTTCTTTTTAAATACACATTCTTCAAAAAATCACCATTCAAAACTTCATTTTTTTTCCCAATAATAGCCATCAAACAGGAGCTTAAATCCTGAATTTGGACTTTGCATAGTGACCAGAATGGTACCTAAGGACCAACTAGAAGGAGATCACGACCTATTACTTAAAGCATTACTTCTACATTTAATGCCACACATTGTCCCATTATAATACCATAAAACCAACATTTTTCCCCTCATGTGCTGTCCACTTTTCTATCACCACAACCCGCCAAAGTTCACTATGCTTAGACAGAAAAGCAATTAACTATGTTTGCCTATAATTAAATCCTTCTGCATATATGGACGTGTATACGATCACTTGCCAACTATGAAACATCGACATGGACAAGTGTCCGACACGTCGACACATGATTTTTTGAAAAAATATTGACACGATACGTTATCGACACGTTGATTAAATTCTTTAAAATTCTTCATTTATATAGTATAAATTTAGTTTTATACTTGTTATTATTTTTTTCTGTTGAAATTTTTTAATTATGAGTACCTATTTGTTATTTAATAACTTTGAGTTAAAAATATATAATATTTTTGATTTAAAAAAATTTGACCATGAAAGAACGTCTGAGGAGTGTCGGTATCCATCGAAGCGGACACGTTACCCTAGTTGAAGAGCTTGCCAAAGCAAAACTAAAGAAAATAAAAGGTTGTCCTTTCCCAGTAATTCACGGAGTATTACGTTAACTCTGTATAGAATTACACATAAACACGACTTAGGTGGAAGCTGAAGACTGAAGCTGCATTTACCCTTAAATCATAATGTGCGAAAATTGAAAAAACACTATTTTGATATCAAACAGACCAGAACAGACCAAACCATTATAACACCAATACGATCAGCTCAACATTCTTTCCCAACCATACTTTCTTCCAGATGAATACAGTGAATCTATATCAGATTTAAATCTTTTTAATCGCACTTCATTCATGTAATAATTTTCCACAAATTTTAAATCTAAAAGAGAGCAGATCCGTGTTTCACAAAATCCAAACAAGATACTTGATACTTGCCTGTGTAAGCAGTAAAAAATAAACTCAATAAACGAAGAAGAAACGCTTACATTTCAACCCCGAAATCAGGTCGGGATTTACAAAAATCGAGAAATTTGAAGGGGACGGCACGAGAGGCGCGTTCACAGGATTGAAAAGCACGAGGGACCTCTCTTGATTCTCCGGTAAGCTCGGCAATTCGCCAATAGTCAAACCCTCCGTATTCCCTACTAATCTCTGTTCCGGTACTGAATGTTCAAACGACATTGGAATTTCAGATTCCTCCTCCTCTATTACGGGCAATAAATCAACATCCTACTTACATACACACCAGTAAGTATATAAAATTACCCTCAGTTAATGACTTGATTACCCACGCAAAACAATAACATCGGAAAATAAGTAGTCAATAATTTAGCACCAATTCAGAAATTAAGATACAAATTTATTACCAGTCGACGAGTTTTTCTAGCGGGAGACGAAAGGGAGAAATCTGAGAATTCATTATTGACGTCCTCAAGTTCCTTCCTCTTCATATTCAACCGGAAATAACCGTCCATGACTAATATCCAATCAAATTGATTGAACCACAAACAATCCCCAAACTTAGATGGGAAATTATGATTGAGAAAAAAAAACCCTAGAACAGTTTTTTGTTCTGCTGATTACGCACCAGGAGGCTAAACGCAGAGTTGACTGTTGGTGTAATAGAATTATAGAAGCAGGTGCGTGGTTCCTAGACTTCTCCAGAAGCTGGGACAGAGAGCAAGAAGCAATTTTTAAGCTTTAAAATGTTTTCATTTCTTTAATTTAAAGTAACTTTTTCTAATCATTTTGATTGCAATATTGAAATTTGGGTGAAAAAAAAAGAAATATAGGGAATTGAATTGTCTAGAATTATTTTCTTGAAAATTATCAATTAATTATGTTTGATTGATTACATTTGTATAATTTTTCACCTAAAAAATATTGAAATTTTGGATTTTTGGTGTTCGTTTGACTTTGTTTTCCAAGAAAATTGTCCATTAAAAGAAAAAAATTTACAATTGTCCATAGAATTTGTTTTCATTACCAAAAAAATAAATAAATAAATAAAACCCGAAACACCAAATCCTACCAAATTGGTGAGAATTCATTTTCATCAAAAACAAGGAATTGGATGCGTGTGAGCCAAACCTAAAAAATGAATTGCTCAGAAAAAAATGTGTATCAAACATGCCTAAAGTGGAAGATGGAATTTCTTTTCCATTTTCTATGTAAAATTTAGGTGGATCGAACAGGGTCTTAATATTTGTTTGGTAAAGTTATTGTTTGTTAAACAGTCTATCGAATTCCATTTTTAATCACGCATTTACGACTTTGATTCACCTTTCGTCATTCATTTTATGAAGTCTATCAACATTTAGCAACGTCAATACGAATTAAAAATAATTTCCATTCAAAAAAAAATTAAAAAAATAACTTATCTTAATGCTTTACCTGAAAGCAAATTGAAGGCAACACAACAGTTTATAAAATAACCTCCAACCTATTAAGGGTTTAGGTTAAACATCAACAAAATGAGCACTAAATAAATTACATGAACCCCCA